CATTCACAAAACATCTCCATTGGCAAAAATAGGCTTGAAATCTGAAACATAGGTCAGACTCTCAAAGAGGTTCTGAGTCCCACGCATGATAAACAATGACTGTGTGAGCAAGTTGGATTCAAGCTGATTTCAACCAATATTTCAGTTATTACACCGCGTGTCAGCTTAACAAGGGAAGAAGGCCCCCTGTGATAGACTGTCTCAGACGTTACCCTGATGAACCTCCAGGGCTATGGTGCTGACATACCTAGAAACATAACAGGGAGTACCAGGACTCACCCACAACAGAGATGCCAACCCTGAATCTAATGAAAGCGGAGTCATGCTTAGCTGGAAGTCAGGCCCAAGCAGCGAAGCTGTGAGTTGGGGGTAAGCGCTGGTCGGCTCCTCCATTTTGTTTCACTTACATACGGGCTATGACATACATTTGGAAAAACTTTGTGAAACTTCGTCGTCAATAACACACAATATACACAAGTGATATTCAAAAGATCACATGCTAAGCTTCCGAATGCTTTTACTGGTGTTAAATCACCGGTGACTTACGAAATTGTATACCAAAAAAAAAATTTCAGAATTCTTTCTATAAAAATCAGAGTTTTTTAAAACCAAAAATCGGACAGCAGATTTCGTATTTGAAAATCGGAATAACTCGGAATGGTTGGCATCTCTGACACAATCATCAGTTCCTCATCGTTGCCCAAGCGATGCAAATCTGCACAGCAAATTGTGATGACAACCTCTGACTACTGATCTACCAGTGCCCGTACTAACAAAGAGGCTGTGTGTCCCAACACCATGTCTCTCTGAGGACACAAGAATCTCATGGGCAGGGTATATGTAATATTGATTCCTTATAAGTAGCACTAAGATCTACAAATGGGGTCACAGAAATCTTCATTGTATGGCACAAGTTTGATCAGACATTCTATACACAACAGTTAAACAAGCTCCAGAAACTTCCTGACAATATATTTTTGACAGCTGTCCGAGGTCCCTACCAGACTAATTTGCCCCCCAAGCGGCAGGGATGGGACAGGAGGGTCAGTCTTCCAAATCTTAAATTACTTTGTAAAGAAGATGCTCTAACTCTTTATAGACATCCTAAAAAATCATAAACAACTCCAAACAAACATTTCATTTTTGACAGTATTTTCTTGTCTGCCTGCAGCTGAAGCCTGGAACTTGACTGAAACACGCCCTCATGTCCACACGCATGGACTGTGCACAGGTAATCTGTGTCCGGCACCAGAACATACCTGTCCACATTGCCTGTTCCATGGACACTCAATGGCACCACTTGACACCGGAGAAACAGATCCTAGTATTTCAGACTCTTGGTCCCTGTTGTTAACTAATTTCGAAAATCATGCATTTTTGTGTGAATGCATCAGGAGAGGATTTTAGGTTTCAGGTTTTAGGTTGCCCAACATTCTTCAGAAAGCCATCATTACAGCAATAATAGTACCTCGTAGCTATTGATTTGTGCTTTCTGCAGTGCTTCATTTGACATGATCATGTTTGGTCTTCATTAGAAACTAAACCAGAAAAGGGAAAGCCAATTTCCACATGAATTAACATCACTCTGTTGCATATTGCGCACAGAGGATTACCTGAAGTGAAAGAAATGTGACATAATGATTGTGAAACAATGTAATTGACCACACAATGCCTTTATCTATAAGTCTACCATCTGTCTGGTGCAGTCCAGCCAGCAATAATCAAGCTAGTATGGAGACGGTTTGTAAATGAATCTGGACCAGACAATACAGTAATTGATATTGTCAGCCATGACCCACACCAAACATGCAATCAACAAAAGTTCTGGACTAATTACCAGATCCATTTGGTCGTTTCTTATGACTGCCATGGGATCCTGACTACTAATTAACTAACCCAAATACCCATCATTGAAGGAGGTTGTATTATGTGGTGTTTCAATTTGACTTCCTAAATGTGTCAACTGCAATCAAGGGAGGTAACCAATTAACAAAAGGCTCAAAAGTGGAGGTACAACAATCAAGGGGAGATAACTGTCAGGTGGCCTAAAGAGTCGAGCTACTTTCATCAAGCTGACTGAATCAGTGTCACATGCCCCTGAGAGCGTAACTTCTAAAATCAAAGGGAGATAACACATATGGCCTTAAGAGCAGAGCAATTTTGATCAAAATGACATAAACGCGTGTGTCAAGTGGCCCGAAGAGTACTGGAATCAAGGGGAGGTAACCATGAGTAGACCAATAGCAGCACCACAACATGAGCAGGCAGTAGCAGGCCGGGGACACTAGCAATGAAATACAACTATCACGTGGAGAAGAAGAAGAAGACTGGCTAGAACTGTACATGTCACAAAAATATAAACTCTTTCACGCATCATCTCAGTATATGAAGAAAATGGGTCCATGAAGTCTGAAGGACCAGACATTGGCACAACACAGAAGACAAAACTAAACTGAAAGGATCCAGTTGCCATGACAATAACAAAAACAATATTCTGAAAAGGAGGTTTCAATGTGCATGCATTTATAGCAGTGAAATAAGGCTGAGTTGTCTCCTCTTGGGCAGAATATTCCCCCAAACTGGACATTATGCATATCAGGAAACAATTTATTTCATAGTCAAATTATGAAATTATCTGTACATTTTCACTGAATAAGAAAGACATTCGTTCCTGAAACTTTAAATTGTGACAAGCTTCAATCACGTTTTGACGCAAAGTCTTGACGTGTCCATAGAACACACAAAAACTCCTACTCTATCTGTTAATGAAGAGTTGTTAGTCATGTCCGTTCATCATGAATAGGTCAGCTATACTTAACTGTATGTAGATGATACATACATCAATTAATGTCTCCACACTCAGTGAGCCAGTGGGCCAAAATATGGGGACATATTAAACCAAGGGAGACAGCTCAGGTATGAGGTAACTGTGTTGGGTTGAGGTATGTTGAAATAATAAATAGTCCCCTAGTGGGGTCATGTCAAAAACTTTACAGCATTTTATCCACATTTCAAACATAATAGGGCCCAATACAATGCTGCACGTTACCAACACAACCAACCGATGGAATATAAAAACAACTAGCATCCTACAAAACTCAATAACTAGTTCAATAATCATACTGTGATTCAACTCCTACAAGCAAGAAATATTTATCTCAATAATGGATGAAGGTGACCAAAGTCTTGCCTTGATAAACAGATACGCAGTCCTACATATTACCCTCACATCAATCTAAACACTTTTGAGTGGTGTTAGCTAAAATCTTGTAAGCACAGTTAATGGTTTCTTTCAGTTCATAAGGAAACACTCCTGTTTAGAAAATTAAAGTAACATTAAAATCAACCCAATCCATTAACCTATTTCCTAGGTTAAAATTTCCACTCAAAGTAACTCTTCAACAACATACAAATAAGGTCTGGCCAAAACAATAATTTAATCACTAACACCCTGAGCTTTCTCATTAAAGAAAACCATACACCTGCAAAAGAGCAATGATGCGTTTAAATGATGGATATCATAAAGATTTTCAGCAATCGCTGAGCCACCACAACCAAACAAATTAAAAACTAATATTTAAATTCAAGTTTTGACATGACCCCCATCTAAAATCAATATGGCAGGATTTATCAATTAAAAACAAAATAGAATTCTAACAAATCACTTAATGAAAATAATAAGACCTAAGAGGACAATACGTAACATATATATATAGACATATATATATATATATATATTATTTTGACATGCACTCCAGCTCGTGAGGAAATCACAGGTCCAACACCAATGTTGGATTTCGCGGGCCCTACCAAATCAGAGTATTCGTAAGTAAACAGTAAACTTTCCTATCAAATCACTTTGAATCAGCCAAACATTCCCCTACACGAATATATATACAAACCTGCACTTCAACTATAGTTGATAAACAGACAATTTCACTATAATTTCAAAATACTTCAAAACCAAGATATTTTCAACTTATAGCTGAACATGGATGGTCTGTTTAAAGAGTAGCATAACTTATTAAATTCCATTTTTAACATTTATTGACACCAAGGAGGGCAGTCAATGCCTAGTCTAGATCAACGGTCTACAAATTCCTTATTCAAAATTCCTAATTTTGCACTCAAGGTTTGCCAAATGTTTCAGCTCTGCCTTCACTGATAATATGACCAATAACATATTTTTTAATGTCTTTCAAACAAACAGAAATTTGAATGTGATGTGTTTTCATAGTCTGCATGTGACCGTACTTAGTCTGAAATTACACATAAAGCTTGGAAGTGTGACACAATCCCATTTCTTTACCCAAATAAAACCCTGGATGTGTGTCACAATCCCACGGTCTATTCATTCCTCAATAATCTTATACCTTTTTCTTCCCCTGACCTCAATTAGCAGTAGACATAAATTACAGGTGAAGGAGCCAAGAAAAACACTTGTTGGTAGATCCCACCACTTCCTCACTTGTTGGTAGATCCCACCACTTCCTCAAATGGTCAAAAGACTGCCAGCATGAACAGTCAGTGAAGCAATGGTCACAGCTCCAGTCAGTGTGGAGAGTACAGCACTGCAAGCTCAACACTGGTATATGTCTGCTGGGTGGGGAGGGAAGGGGTGGGGAGGAACGGGGATATGTGGAGGAGATACCAGCTCATCAGCAGTGAGAGCCGAGGGCCGACACTGACAGGTGACCTGGGGATTGGGGGAAGGGGATATGGGAAGGGTATATGTGGAGGAGATACCAGCTCATCAGCAGTGAGAGCCAAGGGCCGACACTGACAGGTGACCTGGGGATTGGGGGAAGGGGATATGTGGAGGAGATACCAGCTCATCAGCAGTGAGAGCCAAGGGCCGACACTGACAGGTGACCTGGGGATTGGGGGAAGGGGATATGTGGAGGAGATACCAGCTCATCAGCAGTGAGAGCCGAGGGCCGACACTGACAGGTGACCTGGGGGGGATTGGGGGAATCAGGGAGATATGTAGAAGTATATGTAGAGGTACCTTCCTGTGTCGTCACAGAACTGAGAGTTTAGACATGACTCTTGTGGGGTAGGAGGAAAGGGGATATGTGGAGGTACCTGTGGCTAGCCAACGATAAATATCCTCTGATATGAACTCCAGGATGAGGTAAGAAATAAGACTCGTACATAATTCATAATATCATAATGAAAGTTGTGTGATCGATCCAGACTTACCAGCATGCCATACTGTGGTACCAGTTGGTTACTAACTCATAAAAATATACAATAAGTCTAACAAAGTTAACAGAAATTCCATGTGCATAACTCAATCAGGTTGCAAGTTCAGCATGCAAGTATAGCTGCATTTGGTTATCAGGTAAGTAGGTATTTTGACTCTATCCTCATAATACTCTGTAAGGCAGGGCCTGAGTCATGTGCCTCTCATGTGATCACGTCATGTGATCATCATGTGATCAGCACAAAATGGCTTCCACTTGAGCCGTTGGTAGACTTATTGTCCCTACAGCTGCCTGAGATAATCAACAAATATAATGCTTAGTGTAGTTCCTTATGAGAGGTAACAGGAGCACGTGATCAGGCTCCCACTGTTGTCCAGGCAACCTGCCACAACACTTGTCTGTAGAGGTCTGCTAGTCATTCCAGAAGCAGAGTTGCTTCCCTTTCTTTGCCGTGGAGATCAAACTACAGTTACACAAGTACTGAAATATCACAAACATTTTGACCCCATGTTCCTCCTCTTCTTCACTGAACAGTTCCCGCTGCTGGAGTGGGTTCAGCTGCGTTCTGCTCTGTTCAGCTCAGGAGGCGTAGTCTTTGTACAGTCAACAACCTGACATATCGACAATGCTGAGAACAATTCTGCTGCCGTTGTCCTGCAGTAAGTCACACACATATACATCACCGGATCCACATTAAGCTCATCTGCTGCCACAATCACAATAACTCACAAAATAATCACCATTCACAGAGCAGACGTTGCCACGGTTACCTGATCACACAAACTTCATCCCAGACCTGAATTCATGGTGATACTGGCCAGTAAGGTAGGTCCTGCATGTAGCTGGCTTATATCATTTGGCCTACTGTAGTTAGAGCAGTGTCAAGTCTCAAGTCATCAGACAGATGCACACAAAGTCAAGTGTTTGTAATTTGAAATCCCTGAAATAATGATGCGCACCTTAGTCCAACTACAAAAATGCTTCCATATAATATTAATAATAATAATATAATAATAATAATTAATAATAATAATCGTAACACCCCCATGGGGAACGTCAGTTGAGTGCCAGCACGAAGCAGTTTGGTGCTTGTGCTGACCACACTAGCTCGCCACAGCTCCAGGTGAATCCTTGCTGAGAGTCTAATTGGCGGCACTGAATCAGCATGTTGGCAAGACATAATAAACCCACAGTTGGTGGGCGTGACCTTAGGCTACCCGTTTCTCCGAACATTTATAGTTGCATTGGTACTGTCCACAATCTGTTGCCTTTTCGCCAGGGCTATGCTGAAATAGGCGACGAGGAATTTGGAGTTGATTCCCCGCTTGTTTCAGCGGAGCCTTGAGAGCTAACACCTTGCTTGGCAGGACCTGTGAACAGAACAGGAACAAGCTGACAGCAAACCATTTAATCATTCACCAGTTCCTGCTGTATTCTCGGATTCCATTGTAACAGAATACTTTTGGGATATATCCTCTCAGTGCAGAAATGTACCTATCTTACAGAAAGTCTCTCTTTGTGCAGAAGTTTGTCAGAAATATGCCCACATCAAGCCAAACAGGTTTAAAACTAGAAAACAAGCGTAAAAATTTGGTTGAAATTGGATTCTTGGACATGGAATACAGCACGGACAGGCACACAACATTTAGTTTAACAAAATGTAGAGATGTAGACCCACTACTACTACAATCCAATATCAATGTAAATGTCATAAATTGGTACTACTTTAGCAGATTAGCAAAATGGGTGTTTTTTCAGCAAGCTACAATGGTGCCTTGCTTGTGTCGGTAAGTGGCAATGGTGCCCAGATAGTCTCAATAAGGGGCAATGGTGCCGGCTTGTCTCAATAAGTGGTGCCTTGCTTGTGTTGGTAAGTGGCAATGGTGCCCAGATTGTCTCAATAAGGGGCAATGGTGCCGGCTTGTCTCAATAAGTGGTGCCCTACTTGTGTCGGTAAGTGGCAATGGTGCCCAGATTGTCTCAATAAGGGGCAATGGTGCCGGCTTGTCTCAATAAGTGGTGCCCTACTTGTGTCGGTAAGTGGCAATGGTGCCCAGATTGTCTCAATAAGGGGCAATGGTGCCGGCTTGTCTCAATAAGTGGTGCCCTACTTGTGTCGGTAAGTGGCAATGGTCCAAGTGTAACAGGCCAAATTTTCCCTCTGGCCAAAACTTCCCCGGGGGAAACTTTAGCCTAGGCCAAACTTCCCCACCCTTGAATCAACTTTAAAGGCTACTTGTTTCAAACCCCTGTTCTTATATCAAAAGGGGCAGATTCTGGCCAAGCAAGGCTATTTCTTCCCAAACCTTGTTTTCATGTTTATGTTCGTCTTGAAAAAGTCAGAAACGAAAACAAGACATAGCTATTCATGTAAACACAATGATAAGATATTCATGTTGATGTCAAGTTCCATTAACAATTTACAGGTCATCTTAATCTTCATACATAACATGTACATGGGTTCACATTTTGTTTCAATATCCTTAGATAAGGTGAAATTAAAAGGAAAAGCTAACATAGTTTATACAAGGGGGAAAGTTTGGCCTAGGAGGGGAAACTTTAGCCTCACCCAAACTTTCCCCAGGCTAAGAATATCCTAGGACAAAACCTCCCCGGGGAAAGTTTGGCCTAGGCCAGATTCTCCTCTTGGAAAGTTTAGACCGGGGAAGAAATGGCCTGCTACACCGGCTTGTCTCAATAAAGTGGCAATGGAGTCCAGCTTGTCTCAATAAGGCGCAATGGTCTAAGATGCTACACCTGTGTTGTGCTCAGGTAACCCTCTATGTCCACATACCTGTATGAGTGTGTATGAACCACAGGGCACCTGTCAACAGGATACCAATGGCAAATGCTGCAAAGGCAATGCCCACAACAGTTGCAGAGTCCAGGCCTTCTATTATGATGCTCTGCTGGGGCTGTGTGCTGCCTTCTATTTTATCAGCGTTTGAAGATTTCCCTGAATTACTGGATGTGTTTTCCTCTTTTTTCTCTGGACCAGATGTGCCACCTGCAAAGAGACCAATTAGTGTGGAACTGGAACCTGCAACTGATCTATCAGAGGCTAACATTTCTAAAATCAGAATCATAATTTACAATATAAAAATAACATGCTTCTTGTAAACAATTTGCCTGTGTGATGAACACAAACTGAAACAGAACTTTCTTGTCTACTGATTAGGGCTGCGCTAATATAACCTTCATCTGAACCGGTATTTACTGGTTCAGACATGAAAACGATACACATTATGCATTTACTATAATCGAAAACCGGTATTTTGACATGCATTCGAAAAACTTCAGAACACCTCGGAAATCTTCGTGATATTTCCGCTTTTAAATTGTTCTTTTCCTTGTTTCATTAGTGCCAAATATTACTCATATTTTTATTTTGTCATGATTAAAAGTTTTATTAAAGGTTAATCAATCATAGTGATTTTGTTGTGTTTTTGCTTTATAATCAAGCATTAACTCGATTATAAGTAGTTTTGTTTAAAAATAATTCTTGCAATATATTGCAATACATATCGCGAATATATGCTTTCGCATCGCAATATATCACAATATCAAAATTCTCTGCAATACCCACCTCTACTAATGATAGCATCGCTTATCACCTTCATCTGAACACAACGTACCACATGATCACATGCAGCTACACAAGTTACATTTCCTATAATCTCCGGTATCACATATCTCACTCACTATCTATCTATCTATCACATATCTCTTTCACGATCTATCTATCACCGGTACAAAGTTAGAATGTCCGGTAATTTCAAAGACTGTCGGTCATCGTGTCTGGCAAATTTTAAAATCAAGTTTCTAATAACCTCTGTCAATTTTATTTCTCCTCGAAAAAGATTACATTTTCACAATGACATCGGGGTGTTGTCAAATAAAAATGGATATCACAGTAGGTGGTAAATACGATAATATTGCATGGATATCACAGTAGGTGGTAAATACGATAATAATATTGCATGGATATCACAGTAGGTGGTAAATATGACAATATACAGCATCAGTATCAGCAGTGTTTCCATTATCACAGGTAATATTTTTAACCAAGGTCACATTGTAAACGGTAAAAGTGATAATACATAGGTGAGATATCATGAGAGCTGCTAGGTAATACAGACATGTATCAAACAAGTGTAGTAGTGTGAGTCTTACCACCAGGTAATTGCACATCTATGCCAGTCACTTCCCAAGGTCCAGCAACCAGTAACTTGTCACCAATGATGGACGTATGACCGGCTATGTTGGAGGTGTGCTCACAGTTCCTCTCTGAGTCTCGGACACACTGGAACAGAATGTGGGAGTGTTGTATGAGTGAGTGTAGTTTTACGCTGCTTTCAGCAAAATTCCAGCAATATCACAGCGGGGAACACCAGAAGGTGAGGTTAGGTGAAATTTGGTTTAACGTCGTGCTTGAGAATATTTCGCTCATATGACGATGTGTATGCATGTATGTGTATGTGCGGCTGCTTGTACTAGCCCAGACTTAAGCTGGTTTTATAGTGCTAGCCCTCTGAGATACCATGCCGCAGTGAAGCATGAATACCCCACTCAGACACATTATACTGACTCCAAGCCGACCAGTCCTTGTTGTACCCATTAATGCCGAGCGCCAGGCAGGAACCAACAAGTACCATATTTTAACGTCTTTTGGTATGACGCAGTCGGGGATCAAACCCGCGACCTTCCGCTCTCCGGGCGGATGCTCTAACCACTACACCACGGAGGCAGTCGGGAGGGGCTTCACCCATTATAACCATGAGGGTAATCACACCTGGGTCTTCGGCGTGACAAGCAAACGCTTTAACCATTAGGCTACCCCAATCCCCCACTTGGGACATAGTGAATGTATTAACAAGTCAACAAGCATGATCACCCGATTAGTCGCTTCTTACAACAAGCATGGGTTGCTGAAGACAAAGAGGATCTGTATGTGTGAATATAGAGAGGGTGTTGACTGATGGAGGCCGACTCACCTTGGGTATGCTTGAGCCGGCCGCCTGCGGCCCCTTGAGACACACTGCCACCTGGCAGTGCAAGTAGGTGTGTTGGTTGTTGAGGAAGTAGTCACGCACCTGGAAGCTGAACCTGTACACGGACAACGAGCCATAGGGCACGCTGTTGGGGGAGTTGTGCCACATGATAGAGCTGTCCTTGGCACACCTGGAGAGAAGACAAGTCAGGAATGGCTTCATTATCGCGACATCTTGTGCTTCGAGACCGCCATTAATCTATCTTCATTTAACCCTGCATGAAATTAGTTATGTACACGTATATAGCTTTCCTACTTCCTACTGTGTGCTTGCTTCATTCATAACAGTGTTAGTATCTACTATGCTGCATCTCACTCATTATACTCAAGAAGTTGTAGAGTCAATAATTATCCCCCTTGTTCACCAAACCATCTTCTACTGGCAAACAAGGATAAGTTGAGCACCGACATGACACTTGACTGACTGACTGACTGAATTGGTTTTACCGCTTTAAGCAATATTCCAGCAACATCACGATCGGGGACACCAGAAATGGGCTTCACAAATTGTACCCATGTGGAGATTTGAACCCAGGTCTTCGAACGCTTTAACCACTAAGCTTCCCCACCGCTCCCACCGACATGACAATTGACCCGTATTAGAATGTATGAGTGCCACCCACTGGCGCTTTGCCATTGTTAGCGAAGGGGCTCCAGGTTGTCTGCGATCAAGTGTAGTGCGACTTGCTACACCGACGTGATAGTCTTATGAGCAAGGCGTGTGCAGCTACACGCGGAATCAATTTCATCGTCATTCAATGCACGTGCACTAGCCTATATCTGCTCTACCTTTCACAAACCAAATGGGTTTGCTCATTGCCGTACACCGTCTACTTCTCCTAAACGCGTTCTCTGCGCCGGTCCAACTTATCTTTGTTTGTAAATGTAACCATGTGAAGATGGTGTGTTCAGCACTTTCTCAATGTAAGCAACAAGCACCTGCTGTGTATATGGTGACTCACCCATTGCGTATGATGGCTATCCGAGAAGCATCCTTGTCCCTGAAAGTCGCTGCAGGTGTAACCCAGCAGTTGAGGACGCTAACATCCAGGTGAGAGACTGCAATCAGAATCAGATGAACATGGATCAGATGAACATGGATCAGATGAACATGGATCAGATGAACATGGATCAGATGAACATGGATCAGATGAACATGGATCAGATGAACATGGATCAGATGAACATGGATCAGATGAACATGGATCAGATGAACATGGATCAGATGAACATGGATCAGATGAACATGGATCAGATGAACATGGATCAGATGAACATGGATCAGATGAACATGGATCAGATGAACATGGATCAGATGAACATGGATCAGATGAACATGGATCAGATGAACATGGATCAGATGAACATGGATCAGATGAACATGGATCAGATGAACATGGATCAGATGAACATGGATCAGATGAACATGGATCAGATGAACATGGATCAGATGAACATGGATCAGATGAACATGGATCAGATGAACATGGATCAGATGAACATGGATCAGATGAACATGGATCAGATGAACATGGATCAGATGAACATGGATCAGATGAACATGGATCAGGAGGATGAGATGACATGGATGAGATGAAACATGGATGAGATGACATGGATGAGATGAAATATGGATGAGATGACATGGATGATGAAATATGGATGAGATGAAATATGGATGAGATGAAATATGGATGAGATGAAACATGGATGAGATGACATGGATGAGATGAAACATGGATGAGATGACATGGATGAGATGAAATATGGATGAGATGAAATATGGATGAGATGACATGGATGAGATGAAATATGGATGAGATGCAATATGGGTCAGAGGAAACATGGATCAGATGAACATGGATCAGATGAAATATGGATGAGATGAAATATGGATGAGATGAAATATGGGTCAGATGGAATGAAAAGACTTAAGTCAGCACAGATAGGAGAAGTGGTGACTGAAGTCAGCACAGATAGGAGAAGTGGTGACTGAAGTCAGCACAGATAGGAGAAGTGGTGACTGAAGTCAGCACAGATAGGAGAAGTGGTGACTGAAGTCAGCACAGATAGGAGAAGTGGTGACTGAAGTCAGCACAGATAGGAGAAGTGGTGACTTAAGTCAGCACAGATAGGAGAAGTGGTGACTTAAGTCAGTACAGATAGAAGTGGTGACTTAAGTCAGTACAGATAGGAGAAGTGGTGACTTAAGTCAGTACAGATAGGAGAAGTGGGTGACTGAAGTCAGTATAGATAGGTGATAGCGGATTCCCGCGAGTTTGTGACTGAAGTCAGCACAGATATCAAGTGGCTTCACTTAAGTTTTAGGGTACAGATAGGTTCAATAAAATCGATTTGATAAGCCAAAAAAGATATTGTCAGATAGTTTGACTAGGACAAGCTGGCAGATTGTTCCAGAGTCAGAGGACAGATAGTAATCCTGGCTGTTTGAATTGAACAATGCTGTAGATAGGAGAAGTGGTGACTTAAGTCAGTACAGATGATTTAGATAAAGAAATGACTCATGACTCCCAAATATTGAGATAGGAGCATATTGTAAGTCACCATGACTCCCTTTTTAAAGTCTGTGATAGAAGTGGCGACTTAAGTCAGTACAGATAGGAGAAGTGGCGACCTAAGTCAGTACAGATAGGAGAAGTGGGTGACTTAAGTCAGTACAGATAGGAGAAGAGGTGACTTAAGTCAGTACAGATAGGAGAAGTGGCTGACTTAAGTCAGTACAGATAGGAGCAGTGGTGACTCCAGCACAGATAGAAGTGGACACTTAAATGGGCAGCACAGATAGTGCCCATGTAGATTCTGTCAGTACAGATAGGAGAAGTGGCTACCAACGTCAGTAACCATAGGAGAAGAGGGTGACTTAAGTCAGTACAGATAGAAGTGGTGACTTAAGTCGGGTACAGATAGGGAGAAGTGGTGACTTAAGTCAGTACAGATAGGAGAAGTGGCGACTTAAGTCAGTACAGATAGGAGAAGTGGGTGACTTAAGTCAGTACAGATAGAAGTGGGTGACTTAAGTCAGTACAGATAGGAGAAGTGGTGACTTAAGTCAGTACAGATAGGAGAAGTGGGTGACTTAAGTCAGTACAGATAGGAGAAGTGGTGACTTAAGTCAGTACAGATAGGAGAAGAGGTGACTTAAGTCAGTACAGATAGGAGAAGTGGGTGACTTAAGTCAGTACAGATAGGAGAAGAGGGTGACTTAAGTCAGTACAGATAGGAGAAGAGGGTGACTTAAGTCAGTACAGATAGGAGAAGTGGGTGACTTAAGTCAGTACAGATAGTGCTTCAAGTTAGTCCAAGACAAGCAGAAGAGTATGGATTACCTCCGTGTTGAGGGGCACCTGGCACTTCACATCAATCTCCATGCTGTGTGAATGGAAGTCCTCGTCATCTACGTACGTTGCCTCGGTCAGGTCATGTGACCCTGACCCCGACATCTCGGAGTTGTCAAGCACAGCGCTGCCAAGTTCCTCCTCCATCAGAGGATCAGTCACCTCAGAGGAGTGGATCACAATCTGGAACAAACATTTCACTTACTCACTTACTCTGATCTCTCTAACTTCTACTCACAGGAGGCCCTTCTGAACTTACACTGCCTTGACCAGTCAAACTATACTGCCTTGTGAAATCAAACTTTCCTGCATCGCCCAGTCAAACTATTATGGGTGAGTGAGTTTTAGTTTTATGCTGTTTGTAGCAATATTCCAGCAATATCACAGCGGAGGAAACCAGAAAAGGGCTTCACACATTGCACCCATGTCAAAGAATCAAACCCAGGACTTTAGTGTGACAAGCTAATGCTTTAACCCCTAGGCTACCCTTGCGCCTCAAACTATACTGTCTTGCCCAATCAGACTATACCGCCTTGCCCTATCAAACTGTAAATTGCAATGGTCTAAAAGGAAATAGCTTTCCAAAACTATTCTGTTCATTTGTTTATAGTTCTGACCTAGTCTGATCAACTGCCTGGGACAAAGGTTTTTAGTATTCAGTTGGGGTACTGATGTTGATGAACTACTTTGGTAAAGCTCCTTCCTCCCCAACTGTGTACACGACAAGTAAAGCTCACCGCATTGGAGAAGACATTTTCATCATCAACTTGGAGATACTTGGTGTTACATTTGTTCAGCGGAGTCTTCAGGATCACGTGAGTGGCGTTCTCTACTGCTCCACATGACGGGTTCAGCAGAGTTATCTGCTCTTTCACTAAGCCATTCTCCTGCAATGAAGAACATTCATGATTCACTCAGTTGTACAAGTAGCAATATCACACAGAGACACATACAAACATATATATGACTTAACATGTAATAAAAGACGCTGCTTAAGCCAGATCTGACTGATGTCAGTTTCACAGTACTAGCCTCCTGAGTGAGTGAGTGAGTGAGTGAGTGAGTATGGTTTTACGCCGCTTTTAGCAATATTCCAGCAATAACACGACGGGGACACCAGAAATGGCCTTCACACATTGTACCCATGTGGGAATCAAACCCGGGTCTTCAGCGTGACGAGCCAACGCTTTAACCACTAGGCTACCCCACCATGCCCACTAGCCTCCTGAGATACCAGACCACAGTTTTACTCATGTTCCCCACTCAGACACAGTATACCAACACTGAGTCACCTCGTCCGAGTTCCAACCCCTTTAGCGGCAGGGTAACACAAAGGACCAACTTTTAAAGTCATTTTGTTATGAGACAGCCAGGAGAACCAGCCTCAGGTCAGAAGCTGTCTCAATGAGCGACCACATACAGCTATTTACTAAGATAGAGTACATGTATATTCTACACACACCATTTACAAACAGAAACAGATTTGTACTAATATAGACACAATGTACACATACTGAGACACAATGTGTTCAACATGAAGATACAGTATGTATGAAGAAAACAAAAATGTGTATAAAAAAAGAGACAAAGGGGGCACAATGCATGCTGAACTAAAATGTGCACGAAAAAGAGGCACAATATGTACAAAACAGAAATTATGAGTACCAAGGACACACTGTGTACCAACACAGGCACAATGTGTTGGAAATGTATAAAAGTAAGACAAATTGTGAATAAAACTGTAACAAAACAAAAGGATATAATGTGTACAGACACAGACACAATGTGTGAATAAAACAGACACAATGTCCAAAACAGACACAGCGAGTATAAAACAGACACAATGTGTATAAAACAGACACAATGTGAAGAAAACAGACACATGTGAGACATAAAACAGACACAATTTGTATAAAACAGACACAATGTGTATAAAACAGACACGATGTGAATAAAACAGACACAATTTGTATAAAACAGACACAATGTGAATAAAACAGACACAATGTGTATAAAACAGACACAATGTGTATAAAACAGACACAATGTGTATAAAACAGACACAATTTGTATAAAACAGACACAATGTGTATAATACAGACACAATGTGAATAAAACAGACACAATGTGTATAAAACAGCCACAATTTGTACAAAACAGAAACAATGTGTTCTAAGAAGGACACAATGTGTACCAACACAGACACCCAGTTACCTGAAGCAGATTGTTCGGGATGGAGATTTCCATGCGTCCGTCTTTGCAGCGTGTGTGTATTGCCCGTTTCAAGTGGTCGGGGGAGTCGCCCCCATCCGATCCAGGAACAATCCCCGGCTCACTCCTACCAGGTGGGTTTTCATGCAGGGACCATCGATGCTTGTCAGGTACTCTCTTGGCTAGAAATAGTCAAAGCGAAGGACATGACATACTTTCACTGTGGAGCAATGTCATTAATGAAACACTACTTATATATAAACATCAGAAATTCCAATGTATTTTTGTTTCCAAATTTCACTTTAGACTCTCAAATCTACACATAACACAGCTCAACAGTCAAAACACAGAATGTTCATCACACGTCTAAATACTTATCTAGACAGAATCAGACTACATCAGACAACTAGAGGCCACAACTATCCTCGGATATGCTGGGAAATAATTTAAGTACACTTCAAAAGTAATGAACTACGCAAAATGTCTGACTTGGGCCTTGGCTATGTACTCGTACGTTCTCACACAGTGTCTGACTCAGACCTTGGTTGTATCGACTCGTAATGAACTATGCACAATGTCTGACTCAGGACAACTTACAGTTGGGGGAGATGAGTAGCCGGATCCGATTCGCTTGTCGTATTTGAGTGTATGCCTCAACTGGAGCCAGGTAGTAATCTGCCCATGCAATCAGTTCAAGGCCAGTTGCGTTCATAACCTCTCGCCGGAGTGCCACCGTGTGCATCCGGATTCCCTTCAGGTCCACGTCGGCGTCCGTCTGTTGGCAAAACAGGACATTTTCTCACTGAACATATACATACAAGTTAACAAACCCATGATCCTAGAGCCTTGCATGACCAAGGGACGCAACTCTGCCAAGGACCTGAACTGTGTCTGGCCATTCAGAAACTTCAATGTCAGCAGTCAACTTTGAACAAATGTTAGGTTAATTCAGCACAATTCCGTTAAGTTGTTTCATCTGCACCACAATCTGTACCTGTACCCTCCTAATTCTGTTTCCCACCAGGATTGTAAAGTTGCACTTGCAAGTGACTCCTAGTCAATTTGTGAAATATTTAAGGTATACCATAGGCCTGTAGGATATGCGACTTCAGATGTGTGTATGTAACAAGTCAGGCATGTTATAAAAGACAGTCCATCCTTATTGACAAGTGACACTTGAATGGGGAGGTCACTTTCTATTCACCTTTCAATTATTAATACCATACCAAAATACAATTGTTAGTATCATACCAGCAGCCTATCATTCACCTCAACAACCAACCAACTATATCAACAACCAATCATCCATATCAACAACCAACCAACTATATCAACAACCAACCAACTAGAGGTGTGACGATACAGAAATTTCACGATACAATACGTATCGCGATATCTTGGAACGATACGATTCGATTCGATGTATATCACTATATGCTATCTTTAGTTATTTTCTTTTAAAAAATGTATATTTTGATAGCAAGTAACAGTGAAAAGTTTGACATAACCATCAATTTCTGGTGAAAATTTACAATTTTAAGGCCAACGATACATCTCACGATACGAAAAAAAATATCGATATATTTATCATCAGATAAAGTATCACGATAATCGATACTCGATATATCATCACAGCTCTACAACCAACTATGTCAAAAAACCAATCATTCATATCAACAACCAACCAACCAACTATATCTACAACCAATCATTCATATCAACACCAATAGTAACAATCATCCACACCAACTGTATCCAGAATCCCCATGTTCACTCACATCGAAACATCATTCATTACTTGACAGTAAAAGTGGCAAGAAATGGTCCATGGCAATGTTGCTGTGAAAATATTAAATTATTTTCCATGTTTTGTAGCAGTTAAGTCAAGTGATATACATACCACTATTTCAATCCATCCCTGTACTTTCCGACTGCGGACAGCCCACTTGAGTGACGATGGGGACTTGAGGATGAGGTAGAAGTCCTTGTTGATTGGTTCGTTGTTCACTGACGTCACCTCCAGCTCCATGCGACTGTCTCGTTTCAGGAAGGAATCAGGCGGCTCATTCAGCAGTTCAATGATATACACCGGCCTGCAGCAAACAGAGTGAGTGAGTGAGTGATCAGACTGAACAGAGTGAGTGAGTCAACAGCCCATAGCAAACAGGTACAGAGCTAGCAGTAGGAGTTAGCAGTGGCTACTAGTAGCCTGGATATAACATGCAGCATGGATCTACTGTTCCTAGTCTATGGCTACTAGTAGCCTGGACACAAGGTTGCAGCATGGTGTTACCTCTACTGTTCCTAGTCTATGGCTACTAGTAGCCTGGACACAAGGTTGCAGCATGGTGTTACCTCTACTGTTCCTAGTCTATGGCTACTAGTAGCCTGGACACAAGGTTGCAGCATGGTGTTACCTCTACTGTTCCTAGTCTATGGCTACTAGTAGCCTGGACACAAGGTTGCAGCATGGTGTTACCTCTACTGTTCCTAGTCTATGGCTACTAGTAGCCTGGACTGTTCCTAGTCTGGACACGAGGTTGCAGCATGGTGTTACCTCTACTGTTCCTAGTCTATGGCTACTAGTAGCCCGGACACGAGGTTGCAGCATGGTGTTACCTCTACTGTTCCTATTCTGTGGCTACTAGTAGCCTGGCCATTTACCTTGCCATCAGTATCTTCTTGCCCTCTGATACACATCCTGCGGTGGGCTGAGCCTGGATGTGTGACGTCACCGCATGAGGACTGTCGCCCAACTCCGTGATATTGCACTCATCACCTGAACCGGCAACTGCCAACACAGAAACACCTACACATGTACAGAAGCTCACCTTCGTTTGTGGGCACTTTTCACAGAATGCCAACACAAACATTTTAGCAAAAACACATGTTGTACTTGCAGGTCACCTCGTCTATTTGGATCTTAGCACAGATGTATCCACAATTACAAACTGAGATCCCTTGACAGGTATTTTAGGAATCTCCATTTAATTCAAACTTGTCAATGACATACAACATACTTCTTTCTACAGAGCCATAACATTAGTTAATAAAAATGTAATACATGGATTCCAAGTTCATTCAAGGGTTGTTTCAAGCTGAACATTTGTCTCTGAGAGGGTCTGAGAGTGACTTTAATTACTGCTTAGAATCATGCACCTTTCATCTGAGTATAATGCACCCTTCTCTATTTTAGGATCAGGCACCCCTCACAATTTTGGCATCTTGTAGTATCTTAGGATCAACGACCCTATTTATATCTTCGGATCAGGCAACCTTCACAATAATAGAATCTACTATTCCAGAGAAATGAGCTTCAAACAGCGTTCTGGGCCTCCTTTCACAAAGCACTAAGGTGATCGTAAGTCACTAGTGAGTGAGTTAGGTTTTACGCCACACTCAGCAATATTCCAGTTATATGGCGGCGGTCTGTAAATAATCGAGTCTGGACCAGACAATCCAGTGATCAACAGCATGACGTACATCACTAAGGTAATCTTAGTACAATGTTAAAGAAGGGGAGTTAAGGTTAACCTTAGTAAAGGTTGCTTCGAGAAAAGAGCCCCAGATCTATAGTGACCCCCGACAGTCCACTCAACAACTCCTCCCTCCCAACACAACACACAAACAACACAATGACTTCTCCCTGACAGAATGTGTCCTACCTAGTCCAACTCTAAACAGTAGACTGGTTCCCTCCAACTCGCTATACGATGTCACAGCCTTGTAGCGGAGTGTCGTCCAGGACACCAGATCCTGGCGATTTGAGGTGGCAGGCATTTTTAACTTGCGGTCTCTCACACGTCTCCCAAGCTTGCTCTTCTTGATTCGTATCGAAGAATGCTCCGGAACCTGCAACACGGGATGTAAAACAGAATGTCACAACTGTGGAACGTTCCAAGACATACTTTATGGTGAGTGAGTGAGTTTAGTTTTAAGCCGGTTTTAGCAATATTCCTGTAATATTACTGCAGGGGGAGAGAGAAATGGGCTTCACACATGTGGGGAATCAAACCCGAGTCGTTGGTGTGAGGACTGAACCACTTGGCTACCCCACCGCCCCTCACATACTCATATCATCACTGATACTCCATGATCCATTTACGGACATCTACAGTAATATCTGTGTAGAATCCAGAATTGTTGGATGGAAGTTTTATGTTTACAGGGCTTAACCAATTAAATATAGGAGTACTTAAGAGTACATTTAGAAGAATGGAAATTAGTAATCTGCCAGTATAGTCATGCAGGAAGTATACACATATTCTTTATCCGTGAATCTGGAGCCACATGAAGACTGCCAGTATAGTCATGCGGAAGTATAGACAGAAACCACATGCCTGACGACATACTAGTTATATAGTAAATCTGTTATAGCTGAGCAAAACAAGTTTAAGAACACATAAATTCTTTCATATAACAACTCAACCTTTCATGGTGTGACAAATTAATAATGTAATCTGAAATAATCTGGTTTTCTTTAACTTAAATAAACGTTTCTTTGAGTAGATGATTCGCTGATCGTAAAGGGAGATAACCCTTACACTACCACATATATATTGTTTCTTTGTTGCTTAACGCCACACACAGCAATATTCCAGCTATATGGCGGCGGTCTGTAGATAATCAAGTCTGGACCAGACAGTCCAGTGATCAACAGCATCTATCTATGTAACTGAGATACAATGACATGTGTCAACCAAGTCAGCGAGCCTGACCACCCGATCCCGTTAGTCGCCTCTTACGACAAACATGGGTTACTGAAGACCAATTCTAACCTGGAACTTCATAAGTGCCACATGCATACCCCTCTACAACTGCAATGTTTTCAGAGTGAGTGAGTTGTTTTTGACATCAGGTTAAAAACTAATGGCTAAAGACTGAACTGAAGTGAGTGAGTGAGTAAGTATGGTTTTACGCTGCTTTTAGCAATATTCCAGCAATATCATGGTGGGGGACACCAGAAATGGGCTTCACACATTGTACCCATGTGGGGAATCGAACGAGCGAACGTTTTAACCACTAGGCTACCCCACCACCCCTGAACTGAAGTATCCAGCCAAGCTAGAAATATTTTTTCTAACACAAACCGTGTAAAACTATATTTAAGTTTACGAAACTGACGACATCAAGCCCAGCTGATAGAGCAAATATTCTGAAAGAGAAAAGCCCTAAGAAATTAGATGCATCAAACAAACCCAGCCTAAACAGACATGTACCACCCAGCGAGACAAATTACCTCCTTGTAGCCTGGAGCTGTTTCAGATTATCATTTGAGCCCTTGCATCCCTGTACCCAGCCATGCTTTATTTACTATGAGGTCTAAAGGGCATGTTCAAGTGGCCTGGAGGATCACCACCACCACACTACTCACAACCCTTGGGCCATCAGGGGCAACAGAGACATTAAATACATCTCGACTGGTAACACTCATTTAATCCACAGCAAGGACGGAGCTGTGATTCCCATCAACATGCAGTGTTTTCAATGTGATTATTTCAACACATGATACTTTGGCTACTTTGCCAGAATGGAATACATTTGAATTGGCCACAGGCATTTCATATTCACATGGAAGTTTCTTTCACTTCTGTTAACATTTATTAAAACTTGGTTGCTATATGAGAGACAGTTTACACCATAACTGTCCAGGAAAACTGGGTTTCAATTTGAGCTACAGTTTCCGCCATAACTGTCTAGGAAAACTGGGTTTCAATTTGAGGTACCGTTTCCACCATTACTGTGTGGGAAAATTGGGTTTCAATTTGAGGTACAGTTTCCGCCATAACTGTCTTGGAAAACGGGGGTTCAGTTTGAGGTCCAGTTTCCACCTTAACTGCCTGGGAAAACTGGGGTTCAGTTTGAGGTCCAGTGTCCACCATAACTATCACATTCAGATCTACAGGCAACCGACAAATGTAACCTTGGTACACTTAAGAGAGCTAACAAAACAGTTTAGTATTTTGTTTGATTGTGTTGGTTGTTTAACAACACAATTAGCAAAACTTCAGCGATATGATGGTGGACCAGACAATCCAGTGATCAATATTGTAAGCAGAAATCCACGCTACATACAAAAAAATGCAATCAATCATGTCATATTCAAAATAATACCATTATAAGAATTAGTTGTGTTTCAGCATCACACAAAATTATCTGTCAGAATTCTAAATAGAATCTCAAAATTACTGGCAATCAAACATAGGAGCTTTCAGAGGTTCAGATTCATAGGCAATTAAACATAAGATCTTGCAGGGTCTAAGAATTATACTTGAGAAATCTTGCAGAGTCTCTGTCACAGGCAATTAAACATAGGCATGCCCAGAGCCACAGAATCATAGCCAATTAAACACAAGAACTCAAAGAGTTAAGGAATCAGCCAATTAGACATGAGAACACTTAACACTCTAATCAGATTCATAGGCAATAAAACATTGTTGAATCATTAGGCAATTGAAGAAACGAGTTCTGGATTCCAAGAATCACTTGATACAGAGGCACACTGGCCTGCCTTCATTATCTGGTGATAATACAGAATAAACAGCATAAGAACAAATTCCTGTCTTGTGATCTGAGACATATTCCACAGCAGTATAATCAATAAGTTGGCAGCATTTGCTCTTTGGGACAAATTTCAGCTCAATCCTATCCTCCCACTGAAAGTGAAACACGTTCAGAGGCAATCAACCGCACCTCTATCAGCCGAAGGAGAAGCTGTTTCAGTCTTCTCTCCTCTATGTTGAACCTATCCACATTTATAATGAAGTGTATCCGAGGTGAAATAGTCTTCCTGGCAACAAAAAAACCAAGTTGGAGGCCGTTCTTTGTTTTATCTGACGATCAGCAGAGGAAGGGAGCTTCAGCTTTGAAGAACAGCTTTATCACAGAAATCAAAGACCAACACACTCAGAGAAGTTGAAAGCTTTTGACGACAAATGTGTTTTGAGCAGCACATCGTGTGGGGGCCATGTCTTGAGGCCGGGGTTCAAACACAGACCTGCCGACACTCAACACTCCCGCCACCAGGAGACTTGAAATCCCGTGTCTGTGAGAGAGACTGTGGGGCACGACTCCTTGCGCCCAAAATATTCTCTTTCATCCCCCTTCACAAGAAGGATAGGATAATGCACATTTCTAACTCAACACAAAAAGGTGGGAGGTTTTGAATTGTTAAAAAAGGTTACCGGACATTAATACATGTCTTCAAAATGAAATATTAATCTCTGAATCACTTATGAAAGTTACAAACAGTGTGTCTGTCTAATACAGACCTTTGCTGAATAGGCGACCAACTTTACAGCACAAAATTTCTTACAGAACATTCATTTATCGTTAAATAAAATCCCTATAATGTCGAATACAGCCTAAACTAGACTTTTACCCAAGTCTACGCAAGTCCTGTTTACAAACATTTCAGTGTTTAACATTATCAACTGTAAACTATCCATTGTGAGACTTGTAAAATTTTCATCATAACTCTTTAATTAAAAGAAACTGATGCGGTATTTTTCCAGAAGCTGCTGTTATAATTTTGGAAAGTAATGTAAAAGATGACATTAGACTTCCGTCATAGAGACAGCAATCAAACAGTCACAGGACTCTCAAAGAAGATAGTCACGGGACACTTCAACAAGGGAGATAACTCTTCGGGCTTTCGGCGTCCCTTCGAGAAAGTGGAGCAGCTGTAGAAATGTCAAGCGTGCATCTATCTGAACATGACCATCTGCAGGACTTCAGGTAGATGTATTTATACACGTCCTGCGTATCAGATTGACGACAGATGTGCAGCACAATGCAGCAACCTTGTACACAGCCATGGCCATCATAAGCTTCCAGCCCAGTAAAACTCCACACAAAGCACCTAATCTAAAACATGAGGCCAACTCAAGCTAATACGCCTGCCATTTCGCCTGCGATATTTAGAACTGTGGAGGAAAAAGTGTGCTGCACATTGATGATATGAAGCGTGTTTTGCGGGTACCACTTGTTGCCTGCTGCCTTCCATGCACCTGTGGCCCTTGTGTTAGGATCTGGTAGAGGCCCTCACACAAGGCGCAGCGGTCCGCTTGCAAGCCCATCAGCCTTACACACTGTCCATGTGGTAAACACTTGCCTACAACTTCCCTAGCAGCTTTCTAAAGTCACTTCCCTTTCCTAAGATGAATGAACTGCTGCCTGGGTTTCTATGTCCTCTGATGATCACAGGATGTTCTCCTGTTGCTGTGGAGATGATACAACAGCAAGAAAAGGAGTGAGAGTTAACACTATTTCATTCATGGAACATGTCAGCATAATGTGGTAGGAAAGCCAGAAATGACGCAAATCTCACCAATGTCTACACAGCTAAAGTAAGGTGCTGTCAAATGAAAATCCAGCCATTTTGGCAAACGGGGATTCCAACCCATAATTTGGGCATACCCAAGTGGCGACGAACAGAATGTAAATGGAATGACAGGTGGTATAGTGTTACCTGAGTAGGTGATCAAGTGTTGCAGTGTTACCTGTGTCAGGTGATGGGTGGTCTGGCATTACCTGTGAATGTGACAAATGGTCCAGTGTTACCTGAGTAGGTGATCAAGTGTTGCAGTGTTACCTGTGTCAGGTGGGTGGTCTGGCATCAAAATGGTCCAGTGTTACCTGTGTCAGGTGCTCAAGTGTTGCAGTGTTACCTGTGTCAGGTGTGGGTGGGTGGTCTGGCATTACCTATGTAGGTGACGAGTGGTCCAGTGTTACCTGTGTCAGGTGATCAAGTGTTACAGTGTTACCTGTGTCAGGTGATGGGTGGTCTGGCATTACCTATGTAGGTGACGAATGGTCCAGTGTTACCTGTGTCAGGTGATTAAGTGTTGCAG